CTACATGGCTACAAGGGCTATAGGGGCTATAAGGGCTATAGGGCTATAGGGCTTTAGGGCTATAAAGCTACAAGGGCCACAAAAAATATAAAGGCTATAAGGCTATAAAGCACCCGGGCACCATGGGCACCTGGGCACCCGGGAAAATTCCCGACGCACCCCGGGCACCTGGGCACCCGGGAAAATTCCCGACGCACCTCACCAAACCTTATGACTCCTCTAGGACCCCTACTGAGGCAAGCTCTGATTGGGGAAAATAATTGAAAGATCGTCCCCGGTTTTGTTTGACTATTTTTGAATATTCCTCCTGTAGAGGGAAAGGCCCGACTTAACCCCTAGTTTCATGCACACATGTCGTGCCCTTGAACACCGTTTAACCGATCCATATCTCCCCTGGCGTGGCCTGGGCCCCACTGGCCGATTCGAACCCCCTTGAATTGGAATGTAGGCTGTTCCTTTCGGGTTTCGATCGCCTATCCCCAACTAAAGTGGTGGGACGGTGGGGCTGAAATACCATGGCCTGGTGGGGATGGAGGTCGGTTAAACAATAATGAGCCACAACGAGTCCAATGCAGAGTGGAGAAGGACTATTCTGCAAGCCAGCAATAGAGCTCGTCTGACCAGGTGGGTAGCGTGGCAAGGCGAGCCGAAAGCTGACGATGTGCACATGGCCGAACACGCATCAACCTGACACGGTGCCGCGCAAGTGTTGAGCTCCACGGTTGCAAGTCGCCAGCGCTCTGCTCGGAGCCGATGGTTGGCGGCAGACACAAGGGGGTGGCACGAGGTGGGCGGCCTTCCCAAGCGGGAGGCCTCCTAGAAGGCCTCTGATGACCACGCTGAAGGATAAGACATGTATCCAATTTGGTGTACGAATACTTGCAGACACCACACATCGTGTCTCCATCCGCCTCCGCGCCAGCAGCGTCCGATTCGGCTCGTGGGCCCTCTGGCCGAAGGGGCGGGCTGCCGTCGCCGGCCCAATCATGGCCAGGTTGCTCCTCTCCTGGGCCCGCTCACGGCTTTGAGCGCGGCGCTGTTCCGTCTGTCGTCCTCTGTCTCATAACTAACGCTGCACGTCGCGCAGTGATCTCACGGGCTACATCGTGCGCAGCTTGATTATGATGGCGGTGGTCGGCACCTCGTAATTGAGCATAGCCGCGCTGTGTGACCTGACGGGCGCGGCGGCTTGCCCAAGCTGGCCCTGTCGGAGCCTGGCTCATTGACCTAATCCGCCGAAGCGTGGAATGGTGATTCACTGGTCGTCGGGGGCCGCGAGTCCTCCTGTCGGGTGAATGGAAGCCCCCACGCTGAACTGCTGATCTATGACGGCATGCTCGCGGGGGCCCGACTGGGCCGACGTCCGAGGAACGGCGCAGGCCCCTGGGCGCGATGGACCCGACGACACCGCCAGTTTCGAGGCTGCCAAGACAGCGCCAGGGAACGGCGGCAGCACTGGAAATTGTAATCCTGAGGTTGGCGTGCCAGTGTTGAATATCTGGGGAACAGGTAGTACGGCGGGTGCGTCGGTGCACGCGTGGCTTTGGACTGTGGTCAGCGACGCAGCAGACCAAGATCCCTGGATAGACTCGGGCATCTGCCAGGAGCCCATGGTACCAGGCTGCGATGGGGAGAGGCTGGGTCCTGACTACGGTCGTGGGAGAGGTTCGGTGACCATGAAAGCAACGCTTGAGATGCCAGAGAGAGGCCAAGCATCCAAGGTGCCACGGAAGGGCTCCGAGTCGGCGTAGCCTCCGGAACTCGGGTCACCTCCTTGGGCGCCTGAACTTCCAGAGCTGGCCTGTGGGCATTCAGCTCTGAACTGAAACTCCGATCCGCTGTTGGTTATTGCCATGAGGGTTCTTCTTGCGGTCCGTGCCTTTGCTGCTGGAACAATTGCCTTCACCGTTGATTTTGCCTTTGATTCCGAAGCAACCGTTCTTGACCTGGCCATCGGTCAGCTCGGCAAGGAAGCTGCATTTCCTGGAGAACGAACGTCCGCTCTTTTGGGTGATGACCGTGACAGTTCTGGCTGGCTCGTTCACATGGCGTCGCCATTGGCGCTTGTGGTGTTTCACCTGCCAGAACAGTTGGCCTTGGAGCTGAGCTGGGGGTAAGCCTCTGGACTGATCCGAGGTCAGAGCTGGCGTCGGAACTGATACCGCTCGCATGCTCGAGGTAAGCATGCGCTTCGGCAGCGCGAGGCCACGCAACGGCAGGATGTGGCCTGCGGCGGCGCATCGTTCGGCTGACAGCTGCCGGCATACGTGAAAGCATTTCCGGCACCTGGGAGTTCGGCAGCGCTAGCAGCCCAGGGGTTAAGCCCTTGTGAGTGCCAAGGTTCTGCTGCGCTTGCGTCGTTACTGCCGTCGTTGGTCATGCCTACGTACGATGCCTCCGAAGGATAGCGCTGCGAGGAGGGAGCTGGCGATGTTGTTGGGCGCGTGGTCCACGATGTGACCAACACGCCTGAACATAGTTGTGAGACTGTTGAACTCAGGCTCTGTTGCTAAATATCGGTTGCCGTAGGGCTGGAGCACCGCCATACAATTGCTGGCAGTATAGCCGACCGCTCGGAGGAGCAGCCAGCTGTAGCCATCCCAGGACATCGCAGCCCCACCGTGTGAGGAACCGCAGTGCGAGGAACCGCGGGGGCAATGCATCGGTGGTCTCGTTGCGCCGCCTCGTGAACTCGGAGAGCTCGCGGGCGGTCTGCAAGCATGACTCTTCACCAAATGGTCCGGACTGGGTCGCGAGGTTCGCGATGAGGCAGGTGACGGCGTCTTCCAATTGTCCGTTGACCAATCCTCCTTCTGCAATATCCGTGAAGTTCATAGAACGTGTAAACTCGCCAGCGGCGCCGCCGAGGTTCAGGATGATGGCAGCACGCTGTTGGGCGCTGTCAGTGTTGGTGGCGAGTACGCTCCAGGCGAGTAAGTCCTGCACCCAGTGGCGGAATGGGTGGGCTGGTTCCCATTCTGGTTGCCAAGGAAGGTGGCCGGCGGGATCTGCTGCAATCTCTGCCATCGCTTCCGCCGTGCTGTCCAGGTCCTCCAGGCATCATACTGACAAACCAGAGAGAGAGAGAGAGAGAGAGATGCGGCCACTGAGGCGATGAGGATACTTGCCAGTACTGCAAAGTTGAAGATCCTCCGAGCAAAACGGTCGCGATTGGCGCGCAATCGCCTCGGAACTCGGACCTGCGAGGGAACGAAAGCCATCTTGACAGTTGGGACAGTCGAAGTAGCACTGGAACCCTTGATGATGCGCAAGGGTCTTGGAGCATAAGCAATGACTGTCCTGTATCCTTCGGAATGAACAGCGTGCTCATTGAGACGTAAGCCAGCACTACTGCGCCCAGTCCGAGCCCACACACAGGCACTATTATACGGTATAGCGATGTCGCCCCACTGCCACTGCCAGGAAGTTGTGATGGTAAGGGGGCCGAAGAATTGCTGCCTCCTTGGGTCGACTTACTTACCCCTGCACCAGGCCATCTGTCTCCCAAAGGCGATACACTCACATGGTCACTTCTGGTCGTTGGCATTGGCCTCGTTGCGCCTGTGGGTGACTTGTGCGGATTGTTGTGAGGGTTGCTGAACATCCATAAGCACAGGCTGTTCAAGGAAGGGGGGTGGTACCACTGCGGAATGTGAGGCGAGTGCGAATGTGCGTCCACATCGCACTCTGCGCGTCTTCCGTGGATTGCGGCCTGGGAAAGCATCCAGCTCCGCTGCCAACTAGAATTGCGGGGGGGGGGCGAGAAAGGAAGCATGGCGGCGATCAGCGGACCTGTTCTTACTCTATCAAAGATGCATGCGCCCTGGTCGTGGCTTCATGTAACAGCGGGGCATAACATTCGAATGAGGAGGAGGCGGGGGAGGAGGAGGAGGAGGAGGAGGAGGAGGAGGAGGAGGAGGAGAAGGAGGAGGAGCGGGAGGAGGACTAGGGAGGAGAGTGGGAGGAGGAGGAGGAGGAGGAGGAGGAGAGGAGGAGGAGGAGGAGGAGGAGGAGGAGGGGGAGGAGGAGGAGGAGGAGGAGGAGGAGGAGGAGGAGGAGGAGGAGGAATAAGGGAGAGGATTGGAGGAGGAGGAGGAGAAACACTAGCCGGCACAGAGGTGTGACCGCCGTCTGGGTGGTAGTCGCTCATCCAGAGGTGGATGGCTTCCGCCGCCTCTGGAGCCGCGTGCGAGGCGAACTCCGGCGGGACGCCGAGCCCGTCGAGGTACTGGGCAGCAGCTGATTTTTCGCAAGCTTCTGCTTCGACTCCTCCTGTCTCCTCCTCTTCCTGCTCCTCCTCGAGTCCTCCTCCCGCAATTCCTGCTCCTCCTCGACTCCTGTTCCTGCTCCTTACTTCCTCACGCACGGCTATGACAGCCATTCCTTGGACCCCTCCTCCTCGTACTGTTGCTGCTGCTGCTCCTCCCCTTCCTCCTCTTCTTCCTCCTCCTCCTCCTCCTCCTCCTCCTCCTCCTCCTCCTCCTCCTCCCCGTGCTTCGACTCCTTTGTCTACGGTCAGGAACTGTTGCCCGGCGTGTTTGGGCGGCGGCCCCGGCGACACGCTACGCCCTGCAAGGGGATAGCGTGCCGCTCCGCTTCGTGGGACGATAGGCTGGGCTGGGAAAGCCTCGGGACGTTGACGCCTGGGGAATCGGGAAGTGTTCCGCGCGCCGTGCGGAAACGTGGCGGGCCAGAATCCATGGCGCGCCACGCTGAGCAGCGGCTCGATACCCCGACTGCCTGACGGCGCTCTCGTTCCGGTCGGCCATACCACCACACTGACCGTCGGGACGCCTTGTGGACCGCACGTCTTGCGCGCAGCGGGAGAGGAGGAAGGAGGAGGACGAGGAGGAGGAGGAGGGAGAGGAGAAAGGAGGAGGAGAAGGAGGAGCAGGAGGAGGATGAGGGGAACCTGGAGGAGGAGGAGGAGGATGAGGAGGAGGAGGAGGAGCAGGAGGAGGAGGAGGAGGAGGAGGAGGATGAGGAGCAGGATGAGGAGGAGAAGGGAGAGCAGGAGGAGGATGAGGGGAGGACGCAGCCCCACAGGGAACCTGGAGTCCGAAGCATTGAGGCCATTGAGGAAGAGGACCAGGAGGAGGAGGAGGAGGGAGGAGGAGGAGGAGGAGGAGGAGGAGAGGAGAAGAGGAGGAAGAGGAGGAAGTACCAGGAGAGCAGAGACGGGAGGCAGGAGGGAAAGAGGGGGAAAGAGGAGGACGGAGGAGGTGGAGGAGGTGGAGGAAGAGGAGGAAGAGGAGGAGGAGGAGGAGAAGGAGGAGGAGGAGAAGGAAGGAGGAAGGAAGGGAGAAGAGAGGAGGAGGAGGAGGAGGACAGGGAGGAGGAGGAGGAGAGGAGGAGGGGAGGAGGAAAGGGAGGAGGAGGAGGAAGACCAGGAGGAGGAAGGGAGGAGAAGGAGACGGACCAGGAGGAGGAGGAGGAGTAGGAGGAGGAGGAGGAGAAGGAGGAGGAGGAAAGGGAGACAGAGGATGATGATGATGATGATGATGATGATGATGATGATGATGATGATGATGATGATGATGGTGATGATGATGATGACGAGGAGGAGGAGGAGGAAGAGGAGGAGGAGGAGCAAGAGCAGGAGGATGAGGAGGGGGAGCCGCAGCCCCACAGGAAATCTAGAGTCCGAATCATTGAGGCCATTGAGAAGGAGGAGGAGGTGGAGGAGGAGGAGAACCAGGAGGATGAGGAGGAGGAGGACGACGAGAAGGAGGAGCAGCAGGACTTGGACGCAGACGAGGAAAAGGAGGATGAGGAGCAGGAGGAGCAAGGAACTTCGCACCGACAGGAGGGCAGCAGTCGCACCGCCGCTTCCGCCGCGGTTGACATCGAGGCGAGCGTCGAACCCCGCAATGCCATCCGCCGTCGGACGCCACTGCCCCATCTTCACTGGCCCACCCCCCTCCCGCCCCTCCTTTCTTGAGGACAGTCGCATGGGCGTGGCCATATTTGCTCATCCTTCCTGTACGGCAAGTTCGTGTCGCGCCGACTTCGGCGTTGGTTTTTGACACCGCAGGGATCGTGCAGCCTGGAACGATCGGCCGTTTCCCTGACGTCAGATCGTTCAACATCGACCGATTCTGGGTCGCCAGCCGCGTTCAACATTGAACGCGGGTGGCAGGGTCGCAGCGAGTCGACACGACGCGAACCTGCCATAGGTGGGCTCCACTGCAGAGGCTGCCCTGGGACTGTGGCACGGATTTTCTGGAATGCGCAGGATACGGTTGCTGATCTCTTGTGCCCACGCCCCCCTCCCTCCCATCACCTCCACTTCGCACCCCGCTCCCTCCCTCCATGATCATTCCCCTCTGAGGTGGATTGGAAATGGGGGGGGGGGTAGAAGGATGAGACACGATCAAAGACGCGACTATGGGCCCACCTCCCTCTGCCTTGCCGGCACAGCCGCGGCGGAGCGAACGGGGTCGCGGGCAGAGCTTGCATAGGAACCGAAGCGTTTACATCGTGGGATTCCGAATGTAACCTCTTTGTTCGTGAAGCTCGGGAGGGTGCGCCCGTCGGGCGACTGGGAAAGTCACGCAGTTCGATGGGGGGGGGGGGGGCCCGCGGGCCCCGACGGGCCAGGAAGCCGGGCCCCGGGGCCGCGCGCACCGACGCAGCAGGTGCGCACATGCCCCACGAAGACGGCGAGCTCGGGCCCCGAGGCCCCAGAGTGCAGATCCCGAGGCAGGCCGAACAGCGGGGCGGACCTCGCGGGAGCGAAGCTATGCTCTGTGATGCGGCAGGGGCACTGGATGAGGGACCCTTAGGGGAAGCACCCCGGGTTTGGAAGCCCGCGGAACTCCGATCGTCGGAGCGGCCACGGGCACCACCGCCAGCCTCATTGGACAGGGAATCCTCCCGGGTCTGAAGCCTCCTGGGCACATTCCTGAACCAGCGCCCCCACCGTACATGTGGCAAGGCGGCAGGCGTCCGCACGCCGCGGTCGTGAACTCACGAGAGGGAGCGGCCGGCCGCGTCGAGGGCAGGAGTATGAGGAGGAGGAGGAGGAGGAGGAGGAGGAGGAGGAACGCGATGAGAGGAAGAAATGGAGGATGAAAGGGGAAACGGGACGAGCATGAGGATGATGAGGAGGCGGATGCTGATGATGATGATGATGATGATGATGATGATGATGATGATGGTGATGATGATGATGATGATGATGATGATGATGATGATGATGATGATGATGATGATGATGATGATGATGATGATGAGGAGCAGGAGGAGGAGGAGGAGCAGGAGGAGGAGGAGGAGGAGGAGGACGAGGAAGAGGAGGAGGAGGAAGGTGAGGAGGAACGCGATGAGAAGAAGAAGGAGAACAGGAGGATAAAAGGGGAAACGGGACGAGCATGAGGATGATGAGGAGGAGGAGGCGGCTGTGGTGGGGAGAGGAGGAGGACGCAGGCAGACAAAGGGAGACGTTGGGGGCCTGTCAGAGGAGGCGTGGAATGCGAGTGCAGAGAGCCATTTGAAGCGAGAGGCAACGGGATGCAAGCCTTGTTGTTCTGCGTGGCCACCGCAAGGTTCTCCGCATAAAAGAAATCCCCCTTCCAGTGGACCTCGAAATCTCCCTCGGTGGTTCCAGCCTCTGGCCAGGCAGTCGTCGTCATGCCTTGCCTGTTATTCCCACGCGTCCTCATCTTTCAAAGCCTGCCCCACAAAGCCTCTCTGGATTTAGGTCGGGCGTGTCCCCCTACAGGCGGTTGTTTGACCAGAAATAACGAAATAATCAAATCATGCACCAAATTTGCACAAACATAATGAAACATAGTTCCCCTACTATTTGTTACTACTTTTGAATATCCCCCCTGCAGAGGGACACGCCCGACTCAAGGCAACTGCGCAGGTCTTGCTTCCAGCAGGTAACATGCACAGGAGCATGCAGAATGCTGGCGCAGGAGACGTGCGTGGCCAACGGCGATGGAGCCCTGGCCCCTCCCCTGTTGCTCCAGGTATGGAAGGGTGGATGCTTGGGTGGACGGGTGGGCAAGGCACAGGGGTGGACGAACTGGTGCAGGCCAGCATCGCTGCGCTGTCCATGGCGCATATTAGATTAGCATCACGGTTTCCCCCCTCACACCCCCCTGCCCCGTCCAGGCCCCTCGAGGGCAAATGCTACCGAGTGGGCGCCAGCGCATCATGCTATCGCAAAGGGAGGGCGAGGAGGAGAATAACGCAATAGACAAGTGAAGGAGAAGCAACAGGAGAAGGACGGGACAACTGAGAGAGCTATGGTGTCAGCCTCGTCGCCAGTTCCGGGATCGAGCTGGCGCCAGCCCGAGCAGGGCCACTTCACGATCTCGAAAGTGCCTCACCAGGGCAATGGGGGAATGGCGACCAGCTCCCACGGCCGCGGAAATCTTACATGTATACCCCCTCTACCCTCCAACTCCCTCGCTCGGCCTCCTCCCCCTCCTCCTCATGATCCTCCTCCTCCTCCTCCTCCCCCTCTCCCTTTCCTCCTCCTGCTCGTCCTCCTCCTCCTCCTCCTCCGCCTCCTGATGCTCCTCCTCCTCCTTCTCCTGCTCCTCCTCCTCCTCCTCCTCCTCCTCCTCCTGATCTACCCTCCACCTCCCTCGCTCGCGCTTCCCCCCCCCTCCCCGACTGACGCGTGCACAGCCTGTACGCAGAGTGGAACGCCCTGCCTCGCGTTGAGTCGGGCGCGTCCGCCTACAAGGGGACCCTGGACGAAGCATCCAACCACACTCGAAACAAGTTCAAACACATCGCAAAAAAAACATACGGAACAAGGCCGAAACTATTTTTTAAACTAAGTTTGAGATGTTCCTCCTGCAGAGGGACGGGCCCGACTTTAAGCCTCGCGCGCAGGCCCGCGCTGGGTCGGTGCACGGCGCACGGACGGCACGCCGGGCCGCGCGAGCTGGGGCGCGGGGCCGCGCGGCCCCGGGGTCCAGGGCCCCCTCTCGGCCACGGCAGCGCGGCGCCGCGGCAGGGGAGACAGCCACGATGGTGCCCAGCAAGAGAGGGAGAGAGAGAGAGGGAGAGAGGGGGAGAGAACAATCGATGTGTGTATATATATATGTATACTAGTTAAAAAAAAATTGTCGTATGTACGTATACGCATGCATGCATGTGTGAGAGAGGAGAGAGAGGGAGGGAAAACAAAACACAACAGCGAATGACAACAGCTAACGCGCGAGGCTTGAGTGGAGCGTGGGAGCATGGGGCAAGACCGGGGGCCAAACATCGTGTGTTACGCAGAACGAGTGCTGGTGCGGGGGCGAGGCAAACAATGACGAGAAGGAGAAAAACGGCGCCTCTGCCCACCGTGAAGGCATCGGGGTCCGTCACGATACGGCCAAGGCCTCCCGGGGGAGGCCCAGAGCCGCTGCGTTCTGCTAAAGGCTGGGAGTCCGCGACGCCTCCGGCCCAAGACCGCAAGACCGCAGATGGCTTCAGCCTCGGCTGAAGCCGATTGTCGGCACCCTCCTGCGACCCAGCTGGCGCACTGCGAGCAGCAGCGCGCATGCATACTGTCTAGAGCACGCTGGTGCCATTGCTCATGTGCCCACGGACACCCCTGGTTTCGGACCCGCCGTGCTTTCTGGGCGATTCCGCAAATAGGGTGAACACTTCCGCCCCACCTCTGATGTCGGTTTCCACCCTACTTTGGCGTCGCTGTTTCCGTCATACTTTTGCAGGCAAATCAGCCCTACTGTCTTCCGACGCTGAAATTACCGCCCTACGTGTTCGCGTCGCTTGGGGTGTATTTCTGACACACTTGCAAGTCAGATAATCAACCAAAGTACGGCACATTCGAAGCCAGGGGCGTGGCTTCGTTCATTCCCTCCAGCGACATAAAGCTATTCCGTGGGGCGCCACGAACTTGGATAGCATCCCAGAAGCTCAGAGAGCCCTCCCCGACATCGAGGCCCTACCGAGGTTCGGCAGGTTCGCGTCGTGACGACCTGGGGTTGGTTTCTGACGCCGCGTGGATCGTTCAACCTTGAGCGATCGGCGGCTTTTCGTTCGGCAGGTCATTACGATTTTGGGCCACTGGCGGCGTTCAAACGTGACCGCCCGTGGCGGGGTCGCCACCGAATCGGCACGGCATGAAAACTACCGTAACTGCCACACGCTCGCCCTCCTGTCGGACCTCTTCGACGAAGCCACTGCTATTCCTGCAAGCAGAGGGCAGAACATCCACTCCGGTAGTACCCACCCCGACACGCGAAACCGTTTCGTAAACGCACCCAAAGAAGGAATCAAACAAGGCAAGGCTGTTTATGAAACGCCCAAGGCCGTTGAGTAAACGCCAATTGTCCGGTCCGGGCGGTTTTTCCTCCCTTGAGCAAGGTAGGGCCGAACAAACCTCTCGATCGTGCGCCACGAGGCGGCTCCGGCCTACAATTGGAGCTTCCGGCCTGGAGTTCACAGGTCCCACGGGAAGTAAAACGACGCGAAGATCGGGACAAAATCGGATCGGGATAACTCGAAATCTCTGAGAATCGGCGGGTTTGGAGGATGTATTGGGCGCCGCGGCCGCTCCAGAGCGTTCCGGAACGCTCTGAGAGCGCTCCGGAACGCTCTGGAGCGATTTATCCCGATCCTAGCCCTGTTTTACAGGGCATGGTTTGGGCCAGAGGGCCAAATGTCAACCGTCCTGTCGAGAGGCGACCCAATGCCGGCCCAGGGGTGCTTTCCTGCAGATGGCAGCCGAAGCTGTGGCCGAACCCGAGCCCCAGGCTTCAGGCCCGAATCCTCCCTTCTTCGACTACGACTGTGCTGTCCCAGAAGTGTGCGAACTGATCCAGAGACCCCCTCTCTCTCAGACGGGATGGACAGAGGGGAGAACGAGGCCAGAGCAAAGGAGCTGGGAGGACGGACGAGGAGGGGCAAGGAGGGAGGCAGGGAGGATGACTTTTGCAGCGCGCTGCTGACACCGCGGCTCCAGAAGCAACATGGTGCGGGGCCTGGCCGCCAGGACAGAACAACCAAGGATTGAGCATCCGTGCGCGCAGCTCGCCAGAGTCTTGTCGGGAGGCAAGCCCCATCCACAGCCTGGGAAATATCTGCAACCAGGACTTCCTGCCAGCCAGGGCGCCTCGCCAGTGCTTGCCGAACCGCGCCCGACCGCAAGCACGGCGGATCTGAAGTCAGGGGAGGTGCTCCCCCCAGCGGCTGGGCCCCCTCCCCCCCCGCGCAGCCTTTGTGAAAAAAACAAGTATGTGTAGTCTCCTTCTTATTATGATTACTACTACTACTACTACTACTACTACTACTACTACTACTACTACTACTACTACTACTACTACTACTACTACTACTACTACTACTACTACTACTACTACTACTACTACTACTACTACTACTACTACTACTACTACTACTACTACTACTACTACTACTACTACTACTACTACTACTACTACTACTACTACTACTACTACTACTACTACTACTACTACTACTACTACTGCTACTACTACTACTACTACTACTACTACTACTACTACTACTACTACTACTACTACTACTACTACTACTACTACTACTACTACTACTACTACTACTATTATTATTATTATTATTAGTATTATTATTATTAGTGTTAAGTATTAGTATTGCCCTTATTACGTTTAGTATTATTAGTATTGCTATTATTATTATTACTATTATTATTATTATTCACATTGTGATTATATTATTAGTATTGCTATTATGGTTATTACTGTTAGTATTGCTATGCTTATTTTCATGGGTAGTATTACTGGTATTATTATTCTTAGTGATATTCTTATTCTTAGCGCTAGTAGTATTATTAGTCTTCGCATTTCTCTTATTATTCTTCTTTGGGGAGGTCTCCCCCACAGCGGCTGCTGGGCTCCCCCCCCCCCCCGCAGCCTGCGAGAGTCTCGTCGGTGGCCAGCTCGCGGGGGACCTCCCGCACCTGGCGGCGGCCGCCCTCCCTTCCTCCCCCCCCCCCGCCCGCCGAGACCCCCTCCCCCGAGCCACCCTCGCTCCCCGAGCTGCCCTCTCGCTGCCTCTTCTGCTCCCTGCCCCTCCCCCCTCCCCTCCCCCTTCGCTCACCTTCCCCAAGGGCTCCCAACTTCGCGCTTCGCGCTGCGCGAAGCGCGAATAACTTCGCGCTCTCGCGCCGCCTCCCAGGTGAGAAGAGGAAAATGAGGAATCGGAGCCGAACCGAGAAGCGCGAATAACTTCGCGCTCTCGAGGGCGCCCTTGCTTCCCCACATCCCAGCCCTCTGCTCCCCCCCCTCCTCCATCCATCCGTGCATCCTCTCCGCCCACGTCCCGTCTCATTCCCGGGCGGGGAGACACCATCCATCCATCCGTCCGTCCGTCCATCCATCCATCCGTCCATCCGTCCATCCGTCCATTCGCCCATCCATCCATCCATCCGTCCATCCATCCGTCCGTCCATCCATCCATCCGTCCGTCCTCCTTCTCTCTCGTCCCGCCCTTCCCCTCTCATCATAGCGCTAACAACGCTAATTGGGGGGACTGGCTCAGGGGGGACTATCGACCCGGAATCGGCGACGCAACGCCGCCAGATCGGCAACAGGTCTCGCTTGGGTAAGCTCTTTCTATCCTGGGTCTCGACATTTGAAGGAAGTGTGGGGGAGGGGGGGGGGTCTGGGTCTGGGCCGGTGCTTTAGTCGATCTGCTTGGCCTTGAGGTCAAGCTCGGGCTCGGGCTCGGGCTTCCCAGCCAGCGGGCCTGCTCAGATTCGGGCTCGGGGCCGGGATCCCTGGCCAGCGGGCCAGCTTGGACTCGGGCTCGGCTTCGGGTTTGGGCTCGGGCTCCCTGGCCAGCGGGCCAGATCGGATTCGGGCTCGGGCTCGGGCTCGGGCTCGGGCTCGGGCTCGGGCTCGGGCTCGCTGGCCAGCGGGCCAGCTCGGATTCGGGCTCGGGCTCGGGCTTGGACTCGGGCTCCCCAGCCAGCGAGCTAGCTTGGATTTAGACTTGGGCTTGGGTTCGGGCTCGGGCTCCCCAACCAGCGGGCCAGCTCGGATTCGGGCTTGGGCTGGGGCTGGGGCTGGGGCTCCCCGGCCAGCAGGCCAGCTCGGATTCGGCCTTGGGCTTGGGCTCGGGCTTGGGCTCGGGCTCGGGTTCGGGCTCCTCGGCCAGCGGGCCAGCTCGGATTCGGGCTCGGGCTAGGGCTCGGGCCAGGGCTCGAGCTCTGGCTTAAGGGCTCGGGCTCCCTGGCCAGCGGGCCAGCTCGGATTCGTGCTTGGGCTCGGGCCCCTGCTCTAGAGGAGCCAGAAGAAAGGGCGTAAAGGCATGAACATAAACTTTTAGAGGTCCGCGGGGATTTCTTGTATCCGCGCTGGACCCCTCTCCTTGGTGCACGAAGCGCGCAAGGGGCGGCGCTGGAGGCGCCGCCAGGAGCACGTTTCTTTATTTTCGCTATCATGGGCATTATTGAGGGGGGGAAGGGCCAGGGGGGGTATAATGTAACGCCTCCCCCCCGCCGTGCGCACGGCAGCAGTGCCCGGAGCGCGCTGGGGGGGGATGGGCGTCACGTTATAGGGGGGGGAGGGGGGGGCCAGGGGCTACACCCTGCGAAATGCTTAAGAAATCATGGGTTAAGAAATTCATAGTCTCAGAACTTGAATAAAAACCCAACGCTTCTATTAGAATCTTAAGATTTACATTGAACTATTAAGAATAATCGAGACTCTGGCCGAAAAATTAAGTTATCTTAAGCATCGCATAAGGTGTATAATGCCTGTTTATGCCACAGGCCATGCAGAAACACGCTCCAGGGGGCCCCAGCGCCAATCCAAGAAATCCGCGCGGAGCGCAGACGATTTGTGCTTATGCTGCGTTTTCAGCTTCGATGCTCGGAGGCACGCGAGGGCCCCCAGAAGGGGCCTTCGCGTGCCCCGGCACGGAGGAACCGCAGTAGCGGCTGCGAGAAAGAGAGAGAGAGAGAGAGAGAAAAAAAAAAAAGAGAGAGAGAGAGAGAGAGAGCGAGAGAGAAAAGACGAGGAGGAAGAGGTGGAGGAGGGGGAGGAGGAGGAGAGAGGAGGAGGAGGAGGAGGAGGAGGAGGAGGAGGAGGAGGAGGATCTCCAAGGTTCGGTCGGGCATGTCCCCCTACAGGCGGACCTTGGGCAAAAAATGCAAGAGAAGACCAACAACTGCCCCAAGATAGTCAAACAATGCTCCAACAGAATCGCCCCCATCATATTTTTTGGCTATGTTGGAAGCCTCCTCCTGCAGAGGGACAGGCCCGACTTCACTCGAAGGGCCAGACACCATACGCGTCCTCGGCTCCCCGAGGGGGCCCTCCACGGCCCTCGGGGCCGCCGGGACTGGCGGCGAGCGCGGCGGGGACAGCGAGACGGGGCGGGCCCTCCTCGGCTGGCTCGGACGCGCCCCCGGCCTCCCGAGAAGCTTGCCACGAGCCTCCCCCCGGAGACACGACGACAGCGCTTCAGCAGGGAAGAGGGCGTCCGAGAAGCCCCGCCGCCCTCCGAGGAGGCCTTCGCCCTCCTTTCGTCCCACCCTCGCTCGCCGCCGACGGAGGCCGCTCGGGACGAAGCGCCCGTCGTGGGGCACGCCCTGGGGGTGCGGGCAGGAGAGCCCAGAATCGAATCGACAAGTCGGATCGGCGATCGACATGAGTCGGATCGGCGGAGATCGGCGGCCGAGACGGGAAAAGTCGAGATCGGCAGAAATCGGCAGGCTCGTTGGCCTCCATTGGAGGACTCGGCACCCAGATCGGCATCCGAGCTCGCATCGAAGATCGGAGGCGGAGGCCACCGAGAACTCGAACTCGACTCGACCCGGAGGAATCGAAGCGAGCCCTGTGTGGGGCCCGCTCGCGTCGTGGCGGAGATCCGCTGCTCGCGCCCACCTGTCATTGCACCGGCCTTGCAGACGTGCTGCAACGGATTTCTGCGTGGGTTTCTGCGTGGACTTTTTCCCGAAACGGCGAGCGAAAGACGAAGTGAATTTCGCGTGGATTCGTATTAGCCTTCATTCCTGCCCAAAACAAACCCGCACGAAATTCACCTCGAAATCCGGAACGAACTTCTCCAGGGCACTCCGCGCCCACCCTGCCATTTTCCGGGCGAGATCCGCGCTGCGATGCTGGCGCCGCGCGGCGTCCAGGGCGGCTGCCGGCAGGAGCCCTTTCTCGCGCGGCCCCTCTCCGCGCTGCCGCCGCGCGTCCTCCTCCTCCGTTTCGAGGCGAGGAGTCGGCCGCACGGCTCGGGCCGGCTCCCCCTCCCGCCGACTGGCCCTCTGGGCGAGCGGCTCCAGCGCAGCCGACGCTGGGTCGAGCAGTGCGCGTGAGGGGCGGGCAGCAGGCGCCAGGTCGCCTATGACCGTCACAGGCAGCAAATCTCTCGTCCAGGCAGCACGCTCCTCGGTCATAGGCGGCAGGTCTATCTCGTCTCGAGAACTATAAATGTGTGTGTGGGGGGGCAGGGACCGCTTCTGCAAGTGCCAAGGCGAGAATCCGCGGCCACGCCTTGGCAGCGCCGCGGACAGTCAGGCCACGGAAAAAAAGAGCGAACGCTCATGCCACATTCATCTGTCAACGCCTCCCCCTCCTCCCAATGTTCAAAATTGGCGGTGGGTCTGATGAGTTGCACCTCGACCGCAATTTCCCGCGCGGGTGCCAATTTTGACTTTGGCGGGGAGGGGGAATTTTCAGTAATTGCATAATCCTCTACCGGCGCACAAGACTCAGAACACGGGAGAAATTGAAACCACATGTCAAATCGAGTGACTGTGGGAACATGCGCAGGACCCGATCTTTGGCACGTGTGTGGTCCTGGAGAGCAGAAGGCGGGCGCACGAGACACAGCACCGACAAGTTCCTGCGAGGCCCACGCCGTGCGTGCGCCGCGGGCGGTGTTCAGCACGAGCCGGCGTCCTGCCCGATGGACTCTTTCAAATAGATGCCCCAGACTATCACGAGCACCGTCGTTACCGGTGCTGCCAGCACCCACGTCTTGGACAGCCGGCCCAGGCGCGCAAGCTGCGCCAGTCTGAGGAGGCGGAACGCGCGGAGCACGAGCAGATGCCCTAGGCCAGAGTTCGACGTGACCAGGTCCAGATATGATGGCAGTATGGCGCAGAAGTCGGCAAAGTTGCGCATGGTGAACAGGAAGACCGCGAAGGACTGCGGCCCGACCACGCCGCTCGCAACGGCACGGAGAGTGAACTCGATGGCGAACAAGGTGGCCAAGACAAAATCGATGACCCAGAAAGGACTGGACCAATCCACGGCCATGCCCTGCTCTGTCAGAGACGCCGCGACATTGTTCAAGATGCACAGCACGATGAGCACCCCTATGCAGACCGAGACGAGGCGTGCTTCGGGCGAGCTGGTGGGGTCCTCGAGCAAGCTGTGGAGCCACTGGCACCGTTCTGGCGGAGACCCAGACGTTCCGACTGTCTTCTGAACGCGAGGGAGGCTCGGGGCCTTCACGACGGACGTCGAGACGGACGACGAAGGCCCTTCTGGGAGAAAGTCCATCTGGAAGTCGACCTCCTGGGCCCCGCTCGGCGTCTGGCAGGGGGTCTGGAGGCGGCTGAGGAGCAGCCTCGAGGGCCCAGAGGCCCGCCTGTCCAGCACCATGTCCCTCACCTCCTGCTCCGCGGCCGTGCTCTCGAGGCGCACCTCCTGCTCCAGGGCCGTGCCCTCGAGGCTCACGCCGCGCCGCTCCGGCCGCCCCGCGCCCGCAGCCCTGCCCACGGCGGGGGGCAGCCGGCTCGACGCGGGGCCCGACTCGTCCTGCGCGATGACCATGGTCACGAGCTCGCTGAAGTCGATCTTGGGCTCCTCGGGGGCCCAGGCGTTCGCGGCGCTGAGGTCCACGGCCCAGCACATCTCCTCCCACTCCTCGTCCGATGCCGCGAAGCTGGAGCGCTCCTTCAGCATCTCCACGGTCAGCTCCGCGTGCGCCGTAGAGTCGGTGCTGCCAGTGAGCTCGCACAATCCGCCACCGCCGTGCCCCATGGGCACGTGGTGGAGTGGTGGGGAGTGGTGGAGTGCGGGGGCTGCTTGGCTGTCAGCGGCCGTATAAAACCCTCTTATATTCTCACCAAGCGGCCTCCGAGGAGCCCCCTCGAGACCCCGAGATGGCCCCGAGACATCGTCCTCCTCCTCGTCCTCCTCCTCCTCCTCCTCCTCCTCCTCCTGAAGCCCTCCCCACCAAAGCAGCCTGAAGCTGACCCCTGAGATAGCAGCCAGACCCTCGAAGAAGGCCTGGCAACCCCCAGCCAGCTTTGAGTCGGGCCTGTCCCTCTACAGGAGGAATATTCAAAAATAATCAAAACATTCAGAAGAATGGAGACGATGCTTTTTAAACAAATAAAAAAGAAAAATGTTTGAATATGTGTTCGGTATGTGTTGGCTATTTGTGTTGTTCTTCCAAAATCCGCCTGTAGGAGGACACGCCCGACCTAAAGCCAGCTTCCAAGATGCCCAAACGAGTTCCCAGGAGTCTTCCAGCAGACTGATGACGGCCGCAAACATACATGCGATGTCAATTCATGTTTCGGCTCTCTGGACCATGTGGGAATTCACGGTCACACGCTGCGACTTTCTATCCACTGGGGATGCGACGTCTTACATGTTACGACCCCCGGCATCTTGCATCCCCGTTACGAAAGTTGGCTCATCTTAGCTAACACTGATATGCACTGATGTCTGGGCGCTGTGGTGGCAATTCGTCTGGGAATGATTCTTCGTTGTGATTTTATGCAGAGAGATCTTTACAGTTGCGTGGGAAAGGCCGGGAGTGACGTACTCCAAATGAGCTGACAAGGGGGAAGAGATGTCGTCCCGAACAGGTGGTCTACTGCTCATTGTGCACCAGGGAGAACCCCAGGAAGTTCTCCCGTCCAGCCTAGGCGAAAGCCGTCGTGCTAGGATCCTACGGTTGGAAAGGGGTCCCGCCCAGCGGCGCCCGAATCGTCTGCCCCGCCTGGAGACGCCCGAATCGTCATTGCTCCGAATGCACAATTCTCGTAACGGGCGAGTCCGGCCCTCTGTGCCCCGATGAAGGCTGGAACCCCACGACACGGCCTGACCGAGCCAAAGGGGCACGTCACATTGAAGGGGAACTGGAACACACAAATAAATACACACAAATAAAAATATCCCCCATATTTTCCTATATTTTCTGGGTTTCTGTCTTCCCCCCCACTTCCCATATTTTCCCATATTTTCTGGGAATCGCCGATTAATTGTGTCTGTGTGTTTTTTCCCCTCCTGACACATATGAGATGCAACCCTCTGGAACATAATGAAAAGGACGAGATCCGACATATGACTACGGTCCGCGGGAATCCCTAGAAAGGCCACTCATCTCCGCGTGCTGCGCCAGCGCGGCGGCGGAATCCGCCGCAAGGACCCGGGAATACTTTCCACATCGTGAAGTCGTTCTCGTGTGTCCGGATCAGGCGCGCCACGATCCAGAGGAAGCCCTCCTGATCAATGCAGCCGTCCCCACTGTCTACGTCGTGCGAGATGCTGTCTACCACGGAGGCTGGAATCGAGAACTCCTTGATCCGCCGGCCCCCTTGCGGGGCCACCAGGCTGCGAGGATGAGGATTGCAGCTATATTCGCGTCCCCGAAGCCATCAACTATCGTAAATTACCTATTGTTCGCGCCACCGAAGCCGTAAACCCTCGTAAGAGAGAGCGCGTTTCACGGGCGCTTGCCTTGGGAACATTCGGCGGCGCGTTTCGAACTGGGGTGAGCCCCCCCCCAACACTCGGCCCCGTCGATCAGAACCAGGGGGACCCCCCTCCTCCCTTACCCCCCCCCCTCCCGAACCCCGCCCCCCCCCCCCTCCCAAGGGGGGGTGGGTGGTTGGAACCGCCGCCCCCCTCCCTCCCCCCCTCCATCCAAAGGGGGAGGGTCCGGTTCCAACCCCCCCCCCCTCCAAGCGACCACAGAACGCGCTTTCTCCCTTGCAAACTGATATTAGCCCCCGCGTGAAGTCCCGACATTGCTTCACGTCAGCGTCCAGGCATCCGAACACAGCCCTGGCAAGTCCCATTCTAAGAGAGGGGGGCCGGCGACATGGGGGCGGAGCCCCTACGGATGAACATCTCTGGCAGCTCGTGCCTGTCCAGGGTGCCCGAGCCGTCCAGGTCGTACTTCCTGAACAGCTGCAGCAGGCGTTCCCGCTGGTCCACCGACAGCCGTGCGACACACGCCTCGTGTTATGTTGCCCCCATCGTACTTAAGGACCACGTCAACAGAAAAAAACGAGCACCCCGAACGATATCGAAACAATGTCGAACGAGTATCGCCTCCCAAAGCCCGACACGTGAAAACCCTCCGGTTTCGGTACTTTCTTGGTGCTCGAAATTAATTCTGGTGGTCAAGGCTAAAGTCGGTTGGAACATCGTAAGCCTCGTGGCCCAAGACGAGGAACTCGTCGTGGCTCAGAGACCTCGCCTGCGATGGGGAGCGATGCAGTAGGCACACACGACAAGAGACAACACTCCTCCTCCTACTCCTCCTCCTTCCGAAAAAGAAAGAACCACGTAAACATAAACTTTTGGCGCTCCACGCGGATTTCTTGGATTAGCGCTGGAGCCCCTCTCTGGCGCGCGGAGCGCGCCAGGGGCGGCGCCGGAGGCGCCGCCCGGGGGCCCAGGCGCGGATCCAAGAAACCCGCGCGGAGCGCCAAAAGTTTCTGTCTGTGTGGTTTCTTTTTCGGTGCTCTTCCTCCTCTGCAAGAAATGCTGGGGCTCACTCGTCGTCGATTCGTCGATCTTTCAGGGTTGTATGTATGGCCGGATGTAAATGTTTATATATATATATGTATACATCACTCACAACACCAGACTGTCCAAAGTTCCGAAAGTCAAATCTGATTAAAATATAGAGAAGAACCTAGACGGTGCTCGCACAATGTGGGCGGTTCTTCTATCGGCGCCGCTCACATGGTTGTGAGCGGCCCAGTGTGGACTCGGTGGGCCCACAACCCAGCTCACCTCGGGCCGCGAGCACGGCCTTTCCCGTACCCCCGTCATCGGCTCCGACCTCTCCCTCGAGCGGTGAGCACATATATATATATATATATATGTATATATATATATATAGATATAGATATACACTACACATATCGTGTATATCTATACACACGTAAATCTACATAGACGCATGTGTATAGGAGAGATGTTGTCGAAACCGAAAACACCCTCCCCGGCTATCTTGATAGGCATCGCCCCCCCCCGTCCTCCTGGCACCCTCCGAGAAGGCGCGCCCCAAGGCTTCTGCGGGCTTTTTTTTCGCGGGGCGCCTGCCGGCACTCCACCGTCTCAACTCATGCGCCTGCTGCAGGGCCAGGTCGGGCCTTTCCCCCTACGGGAGGATCTAGGGCAGAAAAAGCAAACAGAGCTAAAACATACTCAAAGATGGTCAACAATAGTCCAAACATCGTCCCCTGATTAATTTTGGATTATTTTTGAATCTTCCTCCTGTGGGGGGACAGTCCCGCCTGAGTTGTAGGGGGCGGGGTCCAGCTCGAAGGGGTCAACATCGAGCTCGAATCGGCGATACATCGCCGACAGATCGGCGATAGGCCCCCAATAGCGAGTCCGCACGCTCCTGGGCGGGGTGGGCTATACCAGGCCCCCATCGGCGATAGGTTCGGGCATACGCGAGCATAGATCGGGAAAAGGACACCCCGAGACATGCAGCCCATGTCGCCCGATGTGGGCGACGAGGCGCGTCGTTCCTGCGTGTGGAGGCAGGACCCGTGGCTACTCCACGCACACACGTAAACCCGTGCTGACGTGTTCTCGATAGTCGGGGGTGCGCAAACATGGATTAGCGATCCATGGATTTGGCGCGCGGTCGCCAATTCCATGGATCGGGAGAGGTGCCCTCCCCAAAATGCGGCTGGTGCCGCCTCGCTCGGAGGCTGGAATGCGCGATTTCCCATGGAAATGGGACCCGTCGCTAATCCACGCCCCTTTGATCCATGTTTGCGATCGCCCGAGATAGATGGGCGATTGGGGGTCGATGCGCACTTCCGAGCCGATCCCCCCCCCCGCTGTTGCCCCCTGGCCTCTTCGGGTCGTGGCTCGGCTCTCCTCGGCGGTCGTGTTTGGCAGCGAGGCGCAACTGCTGGCACGCGCCCCGAGGCTGGAGCACCGGCGGGAACGGACGAGCATGCCCTCTGACCTCTGACCTCGAGGCACCCCCTGAACTTAAGTCGGGCGTGTCCCCCTACAGGGGGCGCTTTGGGCGAAGAATAAAACAGACTCCCAGAGTGCTCCAAAAGAGTCCAAACATCGTCCCCAGACTATTTTTTTTTTTTTTTACTATTTTTGAATTTCCCCCCGTAGAGGGGCACGCCCCCCGACTCAACCCTGAACCGACGCCCCCTCTTCGCGTGGCCCCCGTCGCCCCCTTCGAGAGCTCCACCCCGAAGATGCCGGCCAGCATCAGCGCCTCGCGGATCCTCGTCCTGGGCAGCCGCCCCCCCGAGCAGTACAGGTCGAAGGCGCGGTCGAGGTCCTCGCGGATGGCCCTCGCGGGAGGCGAAAAGGCCGAGCGGGCTCCGCGAGACCCCTGGGCCTCGAGGACGCCCCCACGAAGTCCCGCCACAAAGCGGAGGAATGGGAGGCCGAGTGAGCAGCAGCTGCGCGCCGGCAGCACGACGGAAGACGGCGAGGAGCACAGAGGACATCGGAAGCCGCACAATCGTCGCCTTCTGGGGGTCGGCGCGCCGGCGCAAGATTGCCGAACCACAGCGCCACCTCTCGGAGGTCCGTGCGGATTCCTTGGAGCTGCCCTGGACCACGAGGAGGGAGGAGGGAGGAGGGGGAGGCGGAGGAGGAGGAGGAGGGGGGGAGGAGGAGGACGAGGAGGACGAGGAGGAGGAGGAGGAGGAGGAGGAGGAGGAGGAGGAGGAGGAGGAGGACCCTCCCTCGCGCGCGGAGCGGGCGAGGGGCGGCGCTGGAGGCGCTGCCGGGGGGCTCCAGCGCAGATCCAAGACTGGGGGCCAGAAGGACCCCCCGGCCCCCTTCAGAATGGTCACCCCATACAAACGAAGGCTTTCGGCAAACGTGCCCCCCATAGGAGTCCAGCGACGCAAAACTGCTCGGTGATCGACCAAGACTGTTCAGCAAGCGCCGACCTTTGGGGCCAGGACACCTTCACGAATCTCCGAAAGTATGTGTTTTCGCAGTTTGGGGGGACAGAGACTACTCCGACGGCATCATCCCACAGGATCATCTGTTTAGGGTGCCTGGGAATCTCCTCTGCCAACTCCTCCCGTCTCCTTCTCTGCCTCCTCCTCCCTCTCCCCATGCATCCTCCTCCACTTCCTGCCTAATGCCGCCTGCCTCCTCCTGCTGCCTCCTCCTTCTTTCCATGTATTGTCCATGTCCTCCTCCTCCTCCTGCGCCCTCCTTCTCCTCCTCCTAATCCTGCCTCCTCCTCCTCCTCCTCCTCCTAATCCTGCCTCCTCCTCCTCCTCCTCCTCCTCCTCCTCCTCCTCCTCCTCCTCTGGCTGGCCTTCTCCTCCTTGCGTTTCCTGCCTCCTCCTGTGGCCCAGGGCCTCCTGGAGCCTCCTGGAGTCTTATGGGGCCTCCTGGGGCACTCTTCCTCCTCATTCTGATTCTTACCCTCCTCCTCCTCCTCCTTCTCCTCCTGCTCGTCTTGCCTCCTCCTCCTCCTCCTCCTCCTCCTCCTCCTCCTGCCAGGCTTCGGGACCGTGGGCCCCAGCGTTCTTGGCGCCCGTTTCGTCCCGTCCCCAGCGCTGCGCCCCAAAGGGACAGCGCGACCACAGAGACATGGCCTGGAGGAGACCCAGCGACGGCTGCCGCATACCAGGCGTGGCAGCCCTGCGGGGCATACCCCTGGGAGCGGCCCAGCGTCGACTGGGCGCCTCGACGCGGACCCCACCAAGTGCCGGGCGCCCGAGGACCGCGTCGTGCTGACGGGCTTGGGGGACAAGCTGGCGGACCCGAAGGACGTGCCGCACATGTTCGGCTGGGTCATCGATTGCATTCCTGGACTTCGGGTACCGTGTCCCGAAGTGGCTGGAGCCGACTGGGTGCGCTGGGTCCTGGAGGCGTTGTGCGTACGCTGCAGGGTCATCGTGCGCCTTCCTGAACTTAGGGTACCTTGTCCTCAAGTCGCTGGGCACGGCTGGGCGTTCTGGGTCCTGGAGGCGTTGTACGTGCTCTGCTGGGTCATCGTTTGCCTAGTCAGGCAGGTCATCGGCGGCGGCATGGTGTTCACCTTCCTGCAGTTCGACAAGCTCCCCTCCCCCTCTGGCCAATGTGGGCACCTCTGCGGAGGGAGACCCAGGCACTCCCAGGGCACTGACCGCGGCCCCATCGGGCCACTGGGTCAGGGGGCCTGTTGGGAGGGGACCAGGCTCAGCCAAAAGAGTAAACTGACAAGATCCCCGCCTTTTGTATAGGTACGGATGGCCCCGCGGTGTCATCTGAGCGTGGAGGCACGCCATCTTCTCACGCATACTATTTTCCTTATCGCTGCGCCGTTGGGCGCGGCAGCCCTTCATCTTCGGAGGGAGCACTGCGCCGCGGGGTCATTAGGTCCCCGTAGCTGGCAAGGGCCAGCTTGGAGGTTGTGGATGCCCTCGGACCCGCGCTGTGGCTCGCCGCTCTCAGTGCCGCCTGTTTCGTCACAGCCCGCCAGTGTTGCTGTCCTGTCTCTTGTGCGTCGGGGTTGCCGTCCCCCGCCCAGGCTCCCTCAGCGTGACAGTCCTGGAACGATGTGTGACGGCTCCGAGGGAAGTGCCTCGTGGGTCGCACAGCTCGGAGTTTCAAGTTGCTGGCACCAGCATTTGCTCCACCTGTGAGCTGTGCCCCCCGTGGCGCGCCGTGGTGATTATCTGACAGAGTCAGCTTGGGGTAATCCTTGGGGAATCCTCCTCCCCCTGCCTCCTCCTGCCTCCCTCCTCCTCCTCATCATCATCATTCTCCTCCTCCTCCGCCTCCTCCTCCTCCTGATTATCCTCCTCGTTCTGCCTCCTCCTCCTGCATCCCCCATTGGGCCTGCTGCTTCCTCCCGAGACCTCCCGCTGCCTCACGGAGCCCCCGGGGACTCCTAGACTCCTAGAATCTTCTGGGGCCTCCCAGGGCCTCTTGGGGTACTCCTGCTACTCCTCTCGAGGATCGCTGGGGCCTCTTGGGGATCTCCTTCTATTTGGGGCCTCTTGGGGATCTCTGGGGCCTCCTGGCCTCGCACTCGAGGGCCGCCGCCTCCACGGCCCCCTCGTCGCTCTCTTCTTCTTCCCCCCCCACCCCTCTCTTCTTCCCCCCCCACCCTCCTCCGCCCGCTGGCGAACAGTAGCTCCTCCTCCTCCTCCTCCTCCTCCTCCTCCTCCTCCTCCTCCTCCTCCTCCTCCCGACCGCCGACGCCAGGCGGCTGCCACAGTGCAGGGTTCACACCTCAGAGAAATCTGCATCGTCAGCGCTACAATGCCGGGATCAAATCTTGCGCGAAAGGAGGCAGTGGCAGCCGCTCGTGCCAGTGCGGAAAAAAGCTCGGGCAACAGCAGCAACCTCTGTCATCGCAGAATTGCAGGTGCAGGAGCAAAGCACCATCAGCGACACCGATGGAGCCAGCTCGTGCGCAACCATAGGCAGTGGCAGCAGGCACTGTCGGGGCGAGACAGGCGAGCAGTGGCAGCAGGCGGTGCCAATGCGAGAAACGACCTGCCGGCCAACATCATCAACTACACCGCTGGGGGCCGACTGTTTGAGAAAGTCGAGGCCGCGCGGGCCAACGTCATCTGCTACAGGCCTGGGGCCAGCTCGTGCGTGTGAGAAAGCCGAGCAGTGGCAGAACACCCTGTCGTTACTCAGCGAGATGGAAAGCGAAGATCGAGCCCGATGTCATCAGCTATAGCGTTGGGATCAGGGCGCGCGAGAACCAAACAACACCAGCCACAGCGCTGCTGGGGTCAGCTCGTGCGAGAAGACAGGCAATGGCAGCTCGCGCTGGCAGTGTGAGACGGCAGGCAGTGGCAGCAGGGGTTGGCAGCAGGCTCGATCGCGCCTCATCGGTATGTGAAGTTAGAGCCCGAGGTCTGCAGCTGTCAGCTACAGCCCGAGGTCTACAGCTACAGCTACATCGCTACACTGGGGAAGGCGAAATGTCAGCTACAGCGCGAGAACCAGCACGTGCGAAAGGGCGCAAGACGAAGCTAGAGCCAGAAATCTCACAAAACAATGCTGGGAGTGGCGTGGGCGAGAGGGGGAAAAGTGGCAGCAGTCTCTATAGCTACTCAGCAAAAAAGCGGAGGCAAAGCCGCAGCCAGACGTCATCAGCTACAGCGCTGGGAGGCCAGCGACCGCTGTCAAGCTCAGCGAGAGGTTGAAGGCGCAGCTAGAGCCCGATATCAACTACAGCGCTAACATCAAGGAGTGCGAGAAGGGCTGAGGGTAGTCCTCCGCTACAGTGCAAGGATCAGCTTGAGCAAGCGGGGGCGATAATCTTCAGCTACACTGCTAGGGTGTGCTAGTGCGCGAAATGTGGGGGAGATAGCTGGCGCCAAACGCTCTCAGCTACAGTTCTGGTAATCCTTCCAGAGATTTTTGAGGCAGCCCTTGCTGCCCAAGAGATGCATGGGGGTTAGTGCTGGCTCGATTTCGTCGTCTCACTCGGCATGCACTCGGTTGTGAGGATCAGGCCACTCGAATCCCGGCTCGAAATTCCTCCTGCACCTCCTGCCTCCTCCTTCTCCTGTCTCCTCATCCTCCGACCTCTTCCCCCTCCTCCTCCTCCTCCATGTCCTCCTCCTCCTCCTCTTCTTCCTCCTCCTCCTCCTCTTCCTCCTCCTCCTCATCCCCCTCGTCCTCCTCCTCCTCCTCCTCCTCTTCCTCCTCCTTATCATCCCCATCCTCATCCTCATCCTCATCCTCCTCCTCCTCCTCCTCCTCGTCATCATCATCATCAAAGCATTATTCCGATTGGCATCCGCATCATCACCACCACCACCAGCGACACCATCAGCATCAGCATCAGCATAAGCAACAACACCGTCATCATCATCACCACCATAATCACCCATATCATCATCATGTTCTTTACCAGTATCGGCTATCACCTTCGTCACCAGCACCATCATCGCAATCAGCATCAACATCGTCATCAGCAGCAGAATATGCATCAGCATCAGCATCGCCATCACCATCAGCATCCTCAGCATCATCTTCATCATCAGCATCATCATCAACCCCATCATCACCACCACAACCATCATCACCACCACCACCATCATCACCACCAGCATGAGCACCAGCAACAGCAACATCATCATCAACAGCATCATCATCAGCATCATCATCACGATCACCATCATCATCATCACCATCATCCCCATCCTCAAATCCTTCTCCTTATACATAACTCCTCCCTGTCGCACCCCGAGGCCAGTCGGAAGGACAGGCCAGGCGTTTCGCCTGAGACTTCCTCGCCACTTACGGTCCTGAAGCCTAAGCGTTGTCAACAGTTTCACCGATGGAGGGCGAGTCGCCCCCAACATGTGGCTCTCGCCTTAGCGCTGCACACATTCTCCTTGAACACTTGTAAGAGCTTCGCGGATTGGTGGTGGACAATTTTCAAACTGTGGCTCTCGCCGTAGCGCCGCGCACACTCGTCTTAAACATTTGCAAGAGTTTCACTGGTTGGGGGTGGGCGGTGTTCTACATGCGGCTCTCGCCTGAGCGCCGCGCACCATCGTCCTAAACTATTCCAAGAGCGTCACGGACTGAGGGGGGCGTGTTCAAAATGTGACTCTCGCCTTAGCGCCGCGCGCACTTGTCCTGACAAATTGCAAGAGCTTCGCGGGTTGAGGGCGGTTCCTTCTCAAACTGTGGCTCTCGCCTTTGCGCCGCGCACACTCGTCTTACACATTTGCAAGGGTTTCACGGGTTCCCATGGTCAACGTACAAAGAATTTTGCTGGAGCGATTCAAGACTATCACCAACATCATCATCACCATCACCATCATCGACACCGTCACCATCATCCCCAGCATCCCAATCATCATGGTCACCATCACACTCATCTCCATAACCATCACCAGCACCATCAGCATCAGCATCATCCCCATCATCCCCAGCATCGTAAGCATCATCATCATCATCATCATCATCATCATCATCACCATCATCAGCAGCATCATCAGCATCAACATCAGCATCATCATCATCATCATCATCATCATCATCATCATGATCACCATCATGCTTGTACTGCAAATCATCATAATAATCACCATCACCGTTACCAGCGTCATCATCAGCAGCATCCTCATCATTATCAGCAACACCACCATCATCCTCATCATCATCCTCATCCTCCTCCCCCTCCTCCTCCTCCTCCACCTCCTCCCCCTCATCATCATCGTCGTCATTATCAGCAGCATCACAAGCATTATGATTATCAGCATCATCACCACCACCATCAACAATACCATCATCATGACCATCATCATTTTTAGCATTACCATTACCATCATTATCATC